TGTTCTTTCTGCACTGCACTTATAGAGTATATAGTATCTTTGTATTCTATTCAGTGGTCTTCACCCAGGCTGTTCACAGCTGTAGTATGTAGTTTTAAACTGGTAACTACCTAAGCAGAAGCTTTGCTATGAATGTAGCTTCTACTAGAACAGGCAGAAAAATCTTCCTCTGTTCCCTATATGTGGCTCCATTGTTACAACTTAAATAGAATGGTTGAAAAAGAATTTTAAGAGAAGGAACAGTATCGTTGCAAGGTGTCCCTGAACTGGTAATAGCTAGCATTGACTCCAGGAGTCGCAGAAGGCTGATCAGCCTCTTGATTAAAAAACCCATTCCTTTTATAGACAGCTACACTACACGTAGACTTAATTGGTCCTTCAATCAAAATCCATCACCACTGGCTAATTAAGAAACCACCCTTTGGTAAACAAATCTCCATAATACATTCCATATATTCACAACAACAGGTGCAGCAAGTTAAGATAAGAATTGTTTTTCATTCTTTTCTCTGATCTTTTCACAGCCTTTCTTAGCTGATGCCTGGGAAAGCTGTTTGTTTCTCTCTGTGGCCAGAGAGCTGCTGCCACAGAATGGTGCTCTTTAATCCTAGATGTTACAGCACTTTACAGCTGTAAATATGTATTATCACCAAATCGAAAAGAAGATGAGCAGATTATGACCTTGCAGCAAGGCCTCTACTGCCTCTAGAATCTAGATTTTCTAAGTAATTTCTAATTATGTTGATATAGTGTCTACTAACATGCAAAACAAAGGTTGAAATAAAAATTATTAAGCTGCACTAGGAAAGCTTTATTTTGACAACAATGAATTCAAAAAAATAAAAGACAATATGAAAACCATTAAAAATCGTGTAAAAATAATAGATACAACATTGAAAGTGAGCTTCTGCAGAAGAGAATAGAATTTGTGTGGTTACAGCTCTGTGCTTTCATTAATCTGCAAATAGTGCTACCTGAGAAGTGCTGGGCAGCAATGCTGAGAGATGACTCTAGGGATTGCTGACCTGTGAAATAATGGCTTGAACTGGCTGACAGAGAAAGCATAGCAAGGAGAATGGGAATGATGCCTTCCTCTCTCTGTCATGTCTTTGAGAAAGGGATGATACTTGGAGGTGCCACAGTGTTGGCCAGGTAGGACTGTGGGGTATATATACATATTGTATACCTCCTATACATTCTCCAAAGTTGGAGTAGAATTACACTGTAATAATAGTTTTGGAACACATCTGACCATAAACAAGAGGAAAACTGTTGAGAAATATTATAAACAATAATTGCAGACTCTTTTTTACGGATTTTAATATTCTCTGTTCTTTCCTTTCCTAAAAAAAAAATCCTTATTATTTTATTGTTTGCAAACAATAAAACCAATCACTTATTCACTTTCCAAGATACCAAGAATTTTTAAATATTTTTGAATCTTTAAGTTTATGAATAATTCAGCCAAAGCAAGTTGGTTTTCTACAACTTTTGTAAATGTCATTAAATTCCCTATGATAGAAATTTACCCCTGGTAGAAATACCTAAAATAGAAGTAGAAAACATGTGGGTTTTCATTCACAGTGTAAGAATTTACATGGAGAAATTAGAATGCCTGGCCTTTAGGCAAAGATACTGGCATAGCAGGAATCTCGGAAACAAGGTAAGGGGAAAGCCATTGATGTAATGCAATAATATCACAGTGTGAAAAATACAGAAAATATCTCTTAGGTCATGCAAGAAATCAAGCAGCACAGCATGTTAGAAATGTTATCATCAAAATGAATTCAAGAACTGACTATATTACCGTGAAACATGGCATTTACATTAAAACCACAAGCCTTACATGAAAATCACAAGACAAAATGGAAGGCAGACAGAACAGAGTCTGTGTTACTGTGCTGGGCAGGGTCACATCATCACACATAGTGCCTGAGATGCACTATGAGAGATTTGGGGAAGCTCTTTCATCATTAAGAGAGATTTGGGATTTAGGAGCACGAACAGAAATGTATTAAAAGTCTTCAATATTCAAATATCTAAGGAAAACAAACCTACTATTGCAAACTTCAGAGGTATTAAAATATCTCAAAGAAGGTGCACTTCAGAGTCCTAAAGCACTGTATGAACAGAGTACCTCAGGAGTACCCAGTAAGTGTATTCTTGAGGGTACCCAGCAAAAGTGAGACCTCTGCAGAAAAACTGACTAGGTTTGCTTTTTGATTTTTTGTTTGGATTTTTTTTTTTATGTGGAAAACATGGGGTTTTTTCATGGTAGAAAAAAAGGAGGATATTTCCAAATAAAACCATTTTATGAAGTGGAACTTTTTTTTTTTTTTAATAATAGTTTCTAGTGTGTCCTCGCATTTCAGGAAAAAATAACTCGGAGTTATGGTAACTCTAGGAAAACAGAATAGCTGAAAGCAGTCATAGAACAAACAGAATGCTATGCATTACAATTACTGAAAGCATAAGAAACAAAACAGAAGCCAGCATACTGCTGCACAACTTTGAGGCTCATCATTGTCTCAAGCAGAGTGGGCATATCTGGAAAATAAATCCGGGAAGAAAAACTAGGGCAGCAAGAGGCACAGAATAGCTACCATGCTACACCCAGTTGGGTAGGCTGGGAATCCTCATTGTTCAATCAAGACTGTTTGGGGAGAAATAGGATTCAGGCTGTCAGATGAAGAGGGAAAAAAATAGCATAGCTAAGTGAGATTCTAAGCTCAACCAAGAGAAATAAACTAGAGCACAGAGGGAAAACCACAACTGGTCTCTGTCAAGGCAATAAATGATAGGTGTCACACGAAGCTGGACTAGAAACCAATAATAGGTGGCAGATTGATGACTCTCTGCAGCAGGATGTTGAGGATGCCATCTCAGTACAAGTGAGGACAGAGAAAGTATTACAAGACAGAGCAACTATGAGTTAATGAAGAGACAAAAATAGGTTAAGAAAATTCATTATCTTAAAAATTTGGAGACTGGGAAAATCTTACAGAAAATATCACTGATGCCAGTCACATGGGCATTCACTTTAATGCTGGAGACAGAAAACTGAGCAAGACATGTTCTCATCTTGCTATGGATAAGGCTCTTGTCTTGATAGGAACTACAGCATAGCTATGAATTTTAACAAAAAAATCAAAGTGCTTTGATTATGGGTCTAAAAAGAAGAGCTGGCTAATCAGAAAGATTAATTTAGACAGTGGAATTGATGAAAGATCTTTCTGAAAAGATACAGTTGCTCCTAATACTCGTCAGAGGTACTTGTACCGGTCAATTGGGAAGAGCATTCAAGAGGACAAAAAACCCCCAAAAACCCAGCTAATTTTAACAAACTTTACTGTTGTATTTTAATGTCAGTCAGAAGAAATATGTTTTCATTTTTCCATAATTTTTGAGGGATTAAAAAGTACTTGTAATTTCAACATTTCTAAGTTTTCATTAAAAAGTACTTTGCATATTGTACATTTAAAATATGCTAAACCATACCAAAATCTCTCTTTTACTAAACTTAACTTGACCTAAATCAGGAATTATTGCATGGTTTAACGGAAAATTTGGTGACCCATGAAATAAAACTCACCTTTCAAAGCAAAGTATCTTAGATAAGCTTTGATGCTTGCATCACAAAGCAGAAGCCTTGGAGCCATTAAATCTTCCTTTACCATTTCTTTGTGCTGTAGTCTACAACAAAAATTAAATTTCCTTGATTATCTGAGTTAGGTTTCGTTTGGATATAAGATATTTTTACAGGAAGAACAATCTTTCATTGGAACAATCTCACCAGGAACATGATAATTGCTCCTAAGCATGGGTACTTGATGAAATAGCCCAGTTCCAGAAGAACTTATGAGCATGTGTAGCATGTGCTGTATATGCAAATATTTTTTTTTTAAAGGGAGACTTTATAACCTGCATAGAGTCTTACTGATCTAAATTATTTTAATTTCACAACAACATAATTAGATAATATTATCATGTAAAGAATGATATATAGCTATTTACTCTTGTCATTCTTATCATATCCGAAGACAATCCATGGCAAACACTGATTTGCCACAGTTGTAGTGTAAATAATTCAGCTTTAGATTAAAGCCATATCTGGTCAGGCTTATATGATAAAATATCCACCTACTAGTCTTCCACTTGATGTCTGTGATTTTTGTATGAACACATCATGGTACAGAAAACATTGAAACATTTGCAGTCAAGGCAGAGAGGCAAATTCAGATAAAAAGCTAAAATTCTCATTTAAAAATACATCCCTGTATTCCATAGCAGGCCAAAACTTGTACTTTGTTTATCAGTGTTTGCTTGCTATGCAACACACCCACTCTATCATTGAAGCAGAAGTCAGTGGGAGTTGCATGTGTCACACACAGCAAAAGACAACATTACGCTTGCCTTTATAACCCACAGATGGTCACTTGCAGGGCTGTAAGATTCTGCTATATCTCCCCAGTGTAGTGGGGTGGGCAGTGTAGCTAATGCCCTAGCGTGGTGTGCCTGCACAAGACAAAACTTCATATCAAAAGAATGACTGCGTGTTATTGTAGATAAAAGGAACAAATGAGTTCATAATGAGACCAGTACACCATTTGAACAGGTTGCCCAGAGAGGTGGTGGATGGAAACATTTAATGTCAGATTAGACAGGGCTCTGAGCAATCTTACCTAGTCTAAGGTGTCCCTGTTTGTTGAAGGTGGGTTGGACTAGGTGACCTTTAAAGATCTCTTCCAATCCAAACCTTTCTGAGGCTTTGATTCTATGTTGGTTTTACTGCAAGAAAAAGCTAGAGTGAAGGAGTCTGTTGTGACATGATTTAAAGGCTGTGGCTTGATGATGTTTACACTGTTTGGCATATATAGTAGCAGATAAAAGCAATGAGGTACCCTCCCCCACACACCCCTAGCCTGTCCTAAAATTAGCTAGCATTTTGTCATGGGGGTTTGACTAGTATCCCAGTCAGAAATATTTACGGACCAGTTGATATCTAGCCATGGAGAGTTCATTCTCATGGGTGCTTTGCTAATATTTTCATTCAGACTAAATAATTATTTTCCCTATCCACCTACCCTGGTATATATTTACCCGTGTGCTTCTAGCTCTTACCTTACTAAACTAGGCTGCCACCTTTGGGAACATTTTAACTGACTGCATCCTGCAGGTAAGTGTGCAAATTCAAATTGTGAGTTAGCTCTGTACAAGAAACAGCCAAACCAAAGCAGCTTAGAGCCTAATTTAGGATAATTTGCTTTATTTCACAGCAAGATCCTTTTCTTTTTATTGAGTTCTCACCCCTGTTTCCTCTAGTTTGACTAATAATTTCTATGTGACTTCATATCAGTATCTTACTGAAATTCAGAGTGAGGTTGCTTTTCTCTGAAAAGTCTTCCATTTCCTTATGAAAGATTAATGTTGACACAGTCTGTCTTTGATAACCCATATGTATTTTATGCTATTTTATGTATCTTTAACCATTATTCCTCTCAGCATATCATAATGCTTTGCATGTTATTCAGATCAGCCTAAAGGAATAGCAGTTATTTGGATTGCTAATCTTAATATTTTTTCTCTCCTGTAGTATGGCCAGGAACATTGTCATTTTGCAATCAAATATTGTTCCACTCTTCTCAGTAGGCTCTTGTAAACACCTTTTTCTGTGCCTGTGATTCAAGCATGAACCTTTTTTAAAGCCAAAACTCTCAAATGCATAATCTTTAAGTTTTGATTCCTTCTCTAAGCTAAGATAAAATGCAATGCCATACCCTCATTTACATTTGCCAGCCTACTTCATCATCATGAGACTGCTGCATTTTCTGGTGCAAAATATATATTTGATCTTGGGACCATATGATTACTCTTTTTAATGTGCAATCCACCACCCTTGTAGCCACACTCCTCCATACTGTTAGCTTTTTTTTTTTTCAGAGGTCAATACAACCTTTGCTACTTGTTGTAATTTCCTTCTCTGCATTAGCCTCAACTTCCTATTTGGCAGGTATCACTTTGCTCCTGCATGTCTTGTTCTAAAAAAACGGCTTCATTTGTTGGCCAGTTGAATTCTGTCATCTGCATCCTTGGTTACTTTCTTTCGATCTTGACATGATTTTTCTTCTTCCTACAGGACCTTTCCAGTTTCTGGAAGCTGAATCCAGCATCCCAGATATTCAGAGATTTCATTACCAGCATAAAGGAGACAGGTTAGTTACTATGACTGAGAAGTTAGGGAAGGAAAATGTGGTGAAATGTTGAAACTCAGGAAGCTGAAATATTTGTTCTTAAAAGATGATCATAATGATGGAGTTCCCTTGTCTGTAAAATTGGCTGGTTACAGAATGTTGCCTTCTGACTATAGATAATAGATACTTTATTACTTCTTATAAAACAAGAAGATCATGTTCTCTTAAATCCTTTCTTAAACTGATAACTTTTCAAAAATATATAATATTGCTAGTAGGAAATGTTCCCTTCTGCAAGGGATAAACCTTTATTATTAGTAGACTTCTTCAGTGCAGCATATCAATCTACAAACAAAATTTTATTGCCAATAATATTTGTGTTTGCTATACCAGCAGATTATCATTTCAGAGAGAAAGCTGTAGGACTGTTAGCAATAGATTTGTCAACAACAGCATGCAAAAAGCTATTTCAATGTATGTCATTCCAGAATTACTTCTAGTATATTCTTTTTTTTTCAATTGTTGTATATAGCTATTTATTTTGACAGCAATGGCATATTTATTTTAAAGCCTTTCTGAAAAAAGTAAGTTTGTAGTACCTTTTATGTTTCTCATTAACTTAGGGCTATTTCTCTTTCAACTATTTCATTCCAATTATTTGTCATCTAAATTATCAGATTAGTTCATTCAGAAAAGGTAGTTCAGAAAAGGGGATGCAATCATCATCTGCCTTGCAGCAGGAGACTTCCCTAGTACTCAGTTAGGCTAAATTTAGATTGAATTCAGTGAAGGTTATCTCCCTTAATCATTAATGGGTATAGATAGTTCAGCTCAATTTCAGTGTGATTGCAAATGTCTCCTCAGGAGAAACCAGGATAGTGAGACAAAAACCAGTTACTCCTATTCAAGATTAAGGGTCTGAATAGAAAATTGTGCAGGATCTGATTTACAGGTTTTTGGTTTTTTTTCTACATACTTTTGTCAACCCTGTCATGGTAACAAGTATCGGCTCTACTTAGCCTAACCTGAAAAATATGAAGCAAATTGTGACTTACACAGTGAAATTTTGTATTTAAAGAAAATAAAATTATGAACATTGGTGAAGATTTAGTTCTTTAATCTGGGAGATTTTCAAAATACTCCTTCCCCACTGGAAAAATAAATAGTTGATTGGATCAGAAATACTGTGGCAGAAGCAGCAGGCAACATTAAATTAAGTCCTAAACATTTTTAGGCTGTGCAGAAGACATGTCTACTTGAATTGAGTATCTAGAAGATGTGCTGAGGAGGAGCCTTTAGGACATCAATAAACCAATGTCTAAGAAAAGTAATGGTCTTAATAACCCTACATGAAATGTGAGATAGATCCGTTCTATAGATGAGAAATGGCCCCAGCAAGTTACTTGCTAAGGAGAATATGATAAAAGATTAAGAAAAATGTTCTATGGAAATCTTTATAACTGCTTCATTTATTAAAGAAATAGATAACTTGCACTGTTTTGTAACAGATTTGTAGCCAACTTAGAGGTATTTCAGTAACGATGGCTTCAGTGGGAAAAATGGATTACTCTCTTGGGTTTTTTCATGTAATATGCATCCTCACAAATAGGCTTTTACACAAATCTGTTATGAGGGCCATAGCATAGGACTGGAAATAGGAAAAGCTTTCTGAAATTTAAAGAAAAAAAAAAAATCAGTAATGTTTTGCTTTTTTAGAAAATCCTTCTGAGCTGTCAGATGGGGCAGTCATAGCCCAAGGCAGTTCACTCTGCATCTCCACTACAGAGTTCACCTGAATGACCAATTTTGGTGATTCTGGATCTGGTGCAAGTGTCTGCACTAGTAGATCACAATGATGTTTGCTCCATGCAGTGGAGGAGAGCAATAGAACACAACATTTCAGGAGAGAATATATGAGTGTGAGCATGCGTGTATGGCCAGGCATAGGGAGCCGTTCTCCAAGCACCACACTATCTTGTCACAGATGATGAATCATCTGGGAAAGCATTGCTGCAGAATATGATGCTTTATTCCAAATACATAAGTGGCAATAGTCTGCCAGTAAAATACCATTAGTTTTTTGGTTCTGTGTTGCTGCTTCTGTTCCAAATTCTAAGAGGCTTAGAGAGAATATTGGGACATCGTCTTGTTCCAAATATCATGCTGACCCTATGTCAGCAACAGTTGCAATGCCTGTGAACACAGCTATATCCTCTTCTTGATACCACGGGAGAAAGAGGCGAAAGTGCCATGCAGTACGAAAGGCAATTATATCTGTATTGTTGCATTGAGGGAAGATTGATTCAAATAGTTCAGTAACTATTAGATTAAATATGACAGCTATATTTTCCACATCAGTTTAGAATATTGATAGGAAATACACCTCATATATGTAGTTTATAGTGCAGGAGCTAGTCAAATCTCAGTGTCTTTCAGGATTAACATAATCACAAAATCACCAGGTTTGAAGGACTATCCACAACCACGAGTCTGAGGAGACACAAAACACTAAATACAACTTCTGCTCTACAGCTTTGTTGAAGTTATACCATTAGCCACTTAGTCATGACATGAAAATCCAAACAATTTTTAATGCAAAGTGGTTCCTTATACTAGTTCTTGTATAATGAAAAAGCCCAACCAAAGAACCAACCAAGTAATCCCCAAATTAAAGTTGTTCTTTTTTTAATATGGCCTATACCATATTTTATCAGCAGTTTCTAATTGGCTTTTGTTTCTTTTATGAATGTCAATGATAATGACTGGGAGTAATGACTAATGCCCTACAGATGCATTTTAAAGGGTATAGTTTTCTTTCTCAATTGAGTATTCCATTAAACTCTATCCTAAGTGATCCACTCAGGATAAACAATATTCATAGGCACAGTTTTCCTCTGAATAGCCATTTTTAAAATCGGGCTTCCAGAACTTTCCATCTAGAGATGCCATTTCCAGTATCTTATGAGACTTGTGGCTTGTCAGTTGGCAGCTCAGGTTCTGCACCTGAATTTTCACCTGAGCTTTAAATTCATTCCCAAACGATGGTGATTTAGTCTAGCAGCAAGAGCTTCAGAGCACAAGAGGGTGTTATCAATTCATTTCAGAACTCATATTTGTAGTACAAAAGTTATCAGACAAAGTTATTAAAAAGTTTTCCTATCATTTAAATTTTAAATGTCACTTAAAATTCTTGCTTTCCATTTCAATTCGTATATCAATATTCCCATCACATATAAATACACAGTCATCTCAGAATCCCAAATCCTCTTCTGAAATAAATCAGTTATGCATTTTTGGCATTAAGTTTGTCGCTTACTTATTTATATTTGGCATCAGAAAATGTTCTGAAAAAATCCTTTGTACTGATTCTGTCTGCAGTTCTCATCAGACATCTGCAGTGTCCCCATCTTTTATTTTAAAATATTTTTTTACTATTACTTTATTTTGTTCCCTGAAGATCACCTCTGCTGTCTGCTTCTTGGCCACCTCTCCCCACTTAGACTCAATTAATAATAATGTTTCTATTGCAAAAACTGGAGCACTTAGGGAAAAATCAGGACTGAGAAAATCAGGCACTATTTCCTCTATCCTAGTGTGAGAGATTCACTGTGAAAGCATATAGTGGCAGTTTTGACTTGCTGTAGAAGTTCATAGGAGATGCTGAATTCAGTAAAACCATCCATATCTGATGCCTGTTAATCACTTCTCAGCCTCATCTAACACCATTTGCAAGCTGAAGTATTTGTGGTAGGTAAGGGACAGGCGAACGGAAGATTTCGGGGTGTGACGGAAAGATAGACCCATCCCCCTCTCTGCCTCTCTTCCCCACTTATCTATTAACTCCAGAAGCCTCAGAGGAATGCAGCCACACCGGCCCTAGTAAATTTCCACTACCCACTAACCCCTGAGACCCCCAACCCCCCTCTGACGTAGCAAAGACCCCTAAAAGCTATTTAAACCCACGAGATAGGATAATAAACGCTTTTCAACCGTCTGCCATATTGGTGTCTGCGTCTGTTGATTAGCCCGAGCAGTCTGGCTGAGAGCAGGCTGCCGTGCTGTTCCTGAACCAGGTCTCTGGTTGTCTTTTATAAAGGCAACAAGTATTAAAGTTATTCAACAGCTGATGCTGTTGAAAAGGGTTATCTTGATACAGGCATCCAGAAAATTCCATTGCAATAGATGACATTCAGGTTCCACTCCACTTCATACAACAGAGAGGAGCATTTATCTGTTGACTTTCAGGTTACCAAGGAAGTTAACTGTACACTCCATACAAGGATGCTGCTTTGAACACATTCCATCTGCGAAAAAGTAGCATTATTTTCTCACAGGTCCACAAGATGTCTGTTTCTGAGGATAGTTATGAAATAGGAAGAGTATTAGGAGTGATGGCCAAGAGAGGAAACAGAGAACAAATGTAATCTTGCTTTTATAATATTAAGTGTGAAAGTGCAGGTACTTCAATCATGATGATCTCATTATGAAGATCATGTCTAAACCCTTAACTTCTAGCATTTCTCTACTTCCCTATTCAGCTTTAATTTGGAGGGGAATGGGCAAGACTTCATACCTTCATATAATCATAAATTATGGTCAAATTTTAAGGACGCTGAAGAACTGGAGGAGTGTTAAATTTTCTTTCACAAATTTCTTTATAATGAAAGAGCTCAAACTTTGTGGGAAAAAAATGTCTTAGATCTTCAATTGTATGGGCAGTTTGTATGGTTTTGTCATTGTTCTCCAAACACTTACAGCTTCAGGAGAAAAGGATTTGGATGTTAAGTTTGACCATGAACAAATGCATCAGTAAAGCCTCTTTGTTATACAGGGATATTGTTGTATACGTAAAAATACAGTTTGTCTATAAATACAATAAATTTTTACTGTCAATACACACTCAGAGCCTGATATATAATTACATATAGTATAGACCTGCATTAAAAAAAAATCAGAGGGTACAATTACTCCTTGTATTTGAAGCTCAGTTGGGAGTTAAAGGTTTTCACAGAATGTAGTAGTTAATTGGTAAGACAGAATATTGTATTTTGAGTCAAAATTACTAGTGATCCACAGCCTGTTTTGGTTTTCCACTGTATTTGAGAGCAGTACACAAAATTCTTAATGGTGATTTATCACTATGGAAATTCAATTCTCCTCTACATCTTGTCCAAGAAACAAGGAAGAAAAGTTCCTTTATTTTTTTCTACAGTGTGAAGCCTGTTGACTGTACATAAAGAAAACTTCTGTTTCTTAAGGTTAGTGTATTGTATTTTAAATTGGTGGAAACATGCTTAAAACCCTCATTAGATATACTTCTACACACCTTGTTCATACTTCTGTTTATCTGTTGCAAGACTCACTCAATATATATACAACACAATTTTAATTCTAATGCCTAGTTCAAGATTCATACTATATACTTAACTTGTCCCCTCTTCTTACATGTCTAATCAACCTAAGGCTTGATTTTTTCCTAAAATTATTCACCTACCTTCTCCTTTCACATTTTAACATGGACCTATTAGTTTATGAGTTAAATTGAAAGAGTAATTTTTAGCACATTGTGTGAAGATTTAATTGTGCAACTCTCATTAAAGTTAATAGGGATTGTGTTGTTAAATCATGCCGTGCAGAACATTCCATATTCCCTTAAGTGCCCTTTTGTTGCTGGACTGAGAAGAAGCCTGCAGTGCCAGAGACATGCATATCTATTTCAGTGAGAATCTCTCTAACTGGCTTGATTTCAATTTCAGGTCTGAGTTCAAAGTCCTTGAATAACTGGTCTCATATGTGTAATCAAACTAAACCAGGCTTTTTTGACTTAAGGAGAATATTTAATTAAATGACCAGATCTGGTATTTAGCCCAAGAGAAAGGGTACCTGTATACAAGTGCAAATATGATCCCTTCATTTGCCAGTCATCTCTGGGTAACCTGCTGAGCGAATTTCAAATAACTAGAGCAGATTAATTATTTGGGTTAACATTTTCCAAGGCTGACTTCATTTTTTCCTTCTCTTTTTGCTAGGGCTTTTTTTTTTTTTTTTTTTTTTTTTTTTATTCACTTAATAGATTTCAACACAAACTTGGCTCTTAGAACACTGTTTAATTCAACGGGGAATGAGATCAAATGTTAGCTTTGATTATGTCATCTTTGTAGGAAAATGTATATAACAATTATTTCAAATTAATGCAAACTGATGCTGATCTCTTTTACTGTAGGAAAAAAACTTTAAAGGAACCCACTTTGATCTATTGTAGTTTTCATTTCAGTAATACTAAATATGACTTTCACCCATCAGTTAAGAGGAATCACACAAAATTTAAATAAACAAATGGATTCAGCTGAGGCACCTTCTCTTGCTTTGTGCTGAAAATTTACTATAACATTTTACTTTTAAAAGCTGTTATAACCCTGAATAAAATCTTTTGCCTAGTGTAAGAATTAAATACATAATATCGGGAAGGTAATTGTGGTTGTGACTGTACAGTTTTAGACCGAAACTGTATTGTTGAGGATACCATTTCCGCTAGACCAGCAAGACTGTTGAAGCAGTAACATTTTGGATTTTGTGGGTCCACTGGTAACTCCTCCTATGCAATTCCAGCCTGAGCAACTAAGAAACTCTTTTGAGACTGACAGGAAGCATGAGGAAGAAGTAGGGAAAACAGCTCTACTTCATAGCAGGAAACAGGAATGTTAATTAAACTCAAAGAAGTGGCCTGCAAGGGAATGTTTGGACATATCCAGAACACAGGGACCTCACCCCAATATGATGATTCTGCCGCAGGTATTTTGTTGTGTGCACATACTAATTAATAATATAAGGAGATTATGGAATAACCCTTGTTACACATAATTTTCTCTCTTTTTTTTTTTTTTTTTTTTTTTTTTTTTTTTTTTTTTGTGTCAACACTATATCTTAAATATATCCCTGCTATTGAGATATCCCTGTTTGACTTGAGGCTGCTCTCTTTCCCAGCCCAAAATACCAGTATAATGCTCCCTCCAAAAGAGGGCAATTTGCCACCTCCCCTGCTGCACCTCCCCTGCCACCTCCCCTGCATTTTTTTCTATTAAAAAATTGGAAGTGTACCATAAATAAGAAAGTCTCATAATTGACAAAAAAAAATTATAAAATAAGAAAAAGGCATTCTGTATTGACCCTAGAGGGATGAAAACTAGGGATAGACATGATTGCTTGTATTGATTAGATTATCTTGGAAAACTGCTCAAGATGCACATTTTCCCCAAGATTAAAGGACTTATTGAAAGGATCTGTCTTCTATAGGTTGTTTTCTCCCATTTCCTTTTCACAGTAGCCACTATCACATTTGCTATATTCCCTCAATTTTCCATCCTATCACAACTGATGATGCTCCTTCTGCAATGTCTACCTTTTCCTGCCTCCTCATCCTTTCTTTTCCCTCCCATGGCCCACCTCTCCCACTAGTACCTTGCAGTCCCCTGTACATGCTTTATATACCTTCTTGCTGGCATGTGGACAAAAAGCAGAATCATAGGTTTAATGAAGATATGCTGACAGGCTTCTACTGAGCTTCCTCTGTCCTACTGTGGTGACAGGAGCCTCTCACCTCTGCAAGCCGTTTTCCTTTTTACAGGACTCATAGTTGTCTGCTGTCTCTGAGGCAGATCCCTTGTCCACCATCATATTTTCTTGAAAGATTCCAGCAATTCAAAACATAAAGCCCAGATGCACAATCTCCATTGACGTCCCCCCCCCCCCCCCACAGCCCCCAGAATTGTCAGGCTAGCCCAGAGATCCAAGGCTTTGAGGGGAGGAATATCAGGAGATGGTCAAGATTTCCATAAGAGGCTCTTACCCCGAGATATGTTGGTTCAGCTCTCTTTATTCTGTGATGTCCATATGGAGAGCAGGGCAAAAGAGAACGAACAGGAAACATCAGGGGTCTGTATAGACTTTGGACAGGGTGGGCTTCTCTGGCTCTCCGCCAACCCCACTGGGGCAGGAAGAGTCACAGGGTCCCGGGGAAGGGGGCACAGAGTGCCAATGAGCTCACTGTAACACGTCCCCCTTATTTGCTAAACAAGGTTACAGGAACTCACTGTGCTCCATTCAACCCTGAGTATGGGTTTCCTACCACCTACATTTGGTGGCGTAGTCAGGCCTCCTCAGGTTTGCCAACTCTATGTGGTTGACTTCTGAAGTAGAAGGTATGAGACCCTTGATGGCCTTGAAAATCAAGTGACACAGGATCCTGAACGCCAAGGTTACAAGGAACAAAATATCAAGGAGTAACAAAATTGATCTAACAATAGATGTCCACCACCCCGTGAATCCCCAGCCCTTAAACATTCTTTTCAGCATCCGCAGGATGACAACTTGGATGGGGTTGAGTGGGAGATAGGTTTTCTCTAAAAGGGAAAAACAAACATTTTAAGAACATTATAAGGTTTCTGTTTCTGCTGGAAGGAATTCACACTTAGGAATATTCCTCTTCTTCCATCCGGCAGCATCTTCTCTTTGAAGCATCAGCTACTTGCTTTTTGTCCCCTTCTGTCTGACCTGGATTCTTGGGGACAAAAGGTTTCACCCACTTCTGGGGAATCCATCGAGGGCCTGAGGGAGTAGCTACACATGTGTAGCCATGACCCCGGGTTACAAGTTCATAGGGGCCCTTGGATCATAGGGACTCTGGATCCCTAATCAAGACCGGGGGGTGCTGAGACAATTTGAACTGGTTGCCACTGTTAAAGTGATGTACAACAGGTTGACTCATGTTTACAAAATAACAGTTCAGAAAATTGATGATGAACATGGCTTTACAGAGCCTCTCTCGTGGCACGTCCACGGAGCTGAACTGTTTTGTTTCTTCAATACCTGTTTGAGCGTCTGGTGTGCACACTCGACTACAGCTTGACCTGTGGGAGAGTGGGTGATGCCAGTTTTAGGTTCCACTCCCCACTGTAGGAGACATTCCAGAAACTCCTTGGATATACACGCTGGGCCATT